AATATTCATGCCTGTTGAAACATGAAACCTGACAGACGCCACTCAGCGTTGACCTCAGCGTTGTCCAATTTCATATATACATATATATATATATATTATTTATTTATTTTAGGATTTTAAAACAAAAACGTTTAAAATCGTTACACAATTGCAATCCTGTTTCAACACTACAAATATGTCTCCTCGGGCGATGTCAAATTACAGTATTTTAACATCGCCTGAGGAGACACATGTGTGGTGTTGAAACATGATTGAAATTGTGTAGCGATTTTTAACATGTTTCTCTTTTAACATCCTAAAATAAATAATACCTAACTCTACTCTGTATTGAGACCTCTTTTAAATTAAATATTACGTACAATGGAATTATACTTATTTGTTCTCATTTTGCCTCTCTCTCTCTCTCTCTCTCTCTCTATATATATATATATATATATATATATATATATATATATATATATATGGGAGATTGAAAAGTAACTCTCTATTTTATGTATGACGGACTCTTCCGTCTAACTACAATTATTACAAGACGAGAGAGTCCATCGTACATAAAATAGGGAGTTATTGTTCAATCACCCTGTATATGTCTTCGCTCATTGAGTGGTAGTGTTAATAAAATGGTGCACGGTGTAAAATAACAGAGCTATAAATTATGTTAATAACAATTATACATTTTTTCTTCAGCCATAGCACAAGTCAATGTCTAAATTCTGAGTTAAAATTAACCGTTACATAATTTAAATATCTTAATAATGGAGAAGTCCCTATTATTTACGAGGTTTGTTTAAAAATAATGTACACAACCACACATCAACATAACTTATATACTTCCAACTACACAAATAGAATTATAATTTAAATACAAATATACATGTAAGTAATTATAAATACAAGGCAATTTTTTACACAAATATGCCATATATATATATATATATATATATATATATATATATATATAGATAGATAGATAGATAGATAGATAGATAGTACAGTTAATCGATCCGATGGTATATAATCCGGGTGGATCCTAGTAATATTAATTATAAAAACTGATCCACAGAGAACTCGATGTTTTTATTTTAACAAAGCATATGTATTTTTTACAGCAAAAAAAAAAATAATAATTACCTCAGCATAGAGTCTATTTCAAGCCGTTCTGTGCGCGGCTATCATCAGCCCCTAAGTGTGTGTCCCAGAACATTGTTTTAACTTTATTTTCAATGGTCTCATGGTCAGAAGACGACCAACTCAGTCGATTTGTCTAGAAGGTGACGTTCTGATGTTATCGAACTGGATCGAGGTCGGTCACAGGGTGCGGCACCTTTGTAAAGTTCCCGAAAACCATACCACGGGTTGTGAATGAAATTGGGTAAACAGAACTTTTGTGGGCCGTCGATAGCTGTGCTAGCACGAAGTCACAAGTCATCGTGGCTGAGGTCTTGAGCGTGCTGATCTTGATCAAATTGTTGATCACGCTAGATAAGACGCTCTTTCCCATAAACTATAACTAAGGTCTGTTCAGCATAGTGGGAGTATAAACCACAGGTAGGCTCTGTACGTGTTGAGCAAGCACAAATGTGCCTGATCGAGCGTCTGCAGTAGGGATTAGCTAAGCGCCCTAGTAGACGGTTATCCTCGAATAGGAGTGGCCATATATATATATATATATATATATATATATATATATATATATAACATTTTTCTTTATTCTTTAATGCTTCAGTTTTATAATCATTAATATTATAATCATTATTCTCATTCTTATGAACCTCTTGGCAGTGAAATTATTTCCCTTACTTGTATATTTCCATTATTACCATATATTTATTTTATACTTATTATATTTATTACTTATTATTATGACTAGTTATAATACAATTTAATACACGTCATTAGATATTCTAGTATATTATCGTATATGCAGTCCCATTAAGACGCTATAAAGATTAATTAGAAAAGGATTCTCAGGTACATATCTTTTGATTAGCATCAAAACCAGTGTAAAAAAAAAAACTGATTCACACAAGAATAAATGATGAGGCAGAAGCAATAAAATGTTTCAACAGACTGAGTGCTGTTCTAAATGTTCACATTTATATTCACAAACGCTCTACTCTGATATTGAGAGCTTTAACCCATATGTAGCATAGCTTAAAACTATATTTTTACCGTTATACACATACACACACATATATATATATGTATGTATGTGTGTGTATTTTATATATATATATATATATATATATATATATATATATATATATATATATATATATATATATATATATATATATATATAAAAATATATATTGATAAATACCAGCTATTATAATATATATATATATTCGACCGATTCGGTTAAAAGGCACGTCAGGCTATATGACGGTTCCGTATAAGATACAGGTTCGAATCCTATCGAAGGACGAATATTTTCTATGAAAATTTCTCGGACATTCAGGCCGGTAAATGTTGTTTAATACTGTTTATTATAAACAGAGCATTTACTTTAATATTTGTATCTATAAAAAGAATGTATAAACATAAAATGTCTTAAAGTAATTGACGGACTTTGTCCATTTCATAATATATATATATATATATATATATATATATATATATATATATATAATCGACTCTCCCGTCGAGATTCGACGTATGAGGGTCAAGCAGATCAGTTTCCAGGAAACCGACAGCCCGACACCGGCACATGAGATTTGATTATAGTGGTGAAGGCCTTGTGCAGGACCATCCAAACTTTTTGAAATGACGAAGACAGAGACCTGGTGCACCGAATGTCACAAGGTTCCCAAACGACCCTCCGCAGGTTTTGAATTCAGAGTTGTCCTTCTCCTAGACCAGTTGCCATCCAAGGCTATAGAACCCAGTCTGTCCTGCTATTTATTTATATATATATATATATAATAATAGTCAGCCACTATATATATATATATAGAGAGAGAGAGAAATATAGTCTTAAGTTGTGCTATATTTATGGGATAAAGTGCTCAATATCAGAGATAGATCGTGTGTAAGTATAAAAGTGAACATGGAAGTCAACACTGAGAGGAAAGGGGCTGTTTCATGGTAGATGCAATCGTCAGGCCACGTTTGTTGTTTTTTTTCCCCGCCTATTTATATATACGTGTCATAGGTGCACTATCAGTAATCTATTTTAGCGGTTATTTTGCCGGAAGTTGTTTATTTAATCATTTATTTATTTATTTATTTGGGTTAATTTATTTTGCTTGCTATTATTTATTTTTATTTGTTATTCGCATTTTTATTTTTTATTTTTATTTCTTATATATTTATTTATTTATTTTCATTTTAATCGGTGTTTTATTAATAATTTTGCTTTGTTTTGGGAAGATAAAACTATTCAATTTTGGGTTTGATTGCTGTAGTTTATTCTAACTATTATTTGGCGGGAGCAGTTTTTAACTTGTTTATTACTTCATTTATTTATTTGGTTTATTTAACTTTACTTGTTATTTCTAACGGTTAATTTATCGGGAGTGGTTTGTTAGTTTGTTTATTTATTCATTTATTTGGATTAATTTAGAATAATTTATTTTACTTGTTTTTTATTATTTATTTATTATACTGTATGTTTTTATTTACTGTATATTTTTATTTACACTTTTCGGTTTTCGATTTTTAAGTAACGTAGTATTTTTTTATCGTTATATAACAGCTACAGCTATGTATTTCGCCCGATTTTTGGTTTGATTTTTACAGTCTAATATTTTGGCCATATTGGTTTGTTAATTTTTTTATTATTTACTTTATCTATTTGGGTTTATTGATTTTTTTTTATTTTTTGTTTATTTATTCTATTACGTCTCTTCTAACGGGTGTGATTTGGTAATTTGTTTGGGTTATACAAAACAACATAATATACCAAGCCACGATAAAAACACCAGATAATGAGAAATAGTATACATAGGAGTAACTGAAGGACCCTGGAAAGAAAGAAATTATGCATACAAAACATCTTTTACAAATAGTAAATATGCGAACAGCACAATGCTTTCTAAGTATATCTGGGAAATTAAAAACAAAACGCACATCACACCAAAAATATCTTGGAAAATAAGGAAAAGATCATCAGCCTACAATAACCAAACCAAAACTTGCAAATTTTTGCTTGGAGGAAAAAATAGCTATCATTACCTTCCCAGACCAAAATAAATTATTAAATAAAAGATCCGACCTCATCTCAAAATGCAGACATGAAAACAAATTTTTACTACATTTCTTTAAAAATCGAAAACTGAGAATAAAAAATAAAATAAAATAAATAAACAAACAAAATAATTAAAATAAATTAATCCAAATCACACCCGTTAGATCACACTGAATCCATTCTTTTTTCAATGATTCTACGTGCATTTTTCATTTTTTTTCACTCTTCTGTCAAGTTCATTCTATGGGGGTTGCTTCAAAGTTTTGAACTGTAGTATATATATATATATATATATATATATATGGAATAAAATAGACATTCGGGAAATAGTAGTTAGCTCTTGCTAACGCGATTCGTTTATCAAGGCAAGAGATAATAAACAAAAGCTAAATATATATATATATATATATATATTTCCTAGATGTAATTGATAGGGATTATTCCAAAGAGGACTTTATATATTTTCCTAAGTGTTTGTGGCAATAATTTTAACTTGTTGATGTCACTTCTAATTCCTCCTCTTGTAAGTAAATTACATTCAGTTTTTACATTCATTTTACAGTAAAGCAACATTTCAAACAGAAACACACACACCCACACACACAGAATTTTATATTTAAATTTCAAAAATAGGCAACACGTTAAAATTATCTGAGAAATTAATTTTTTCTTAGGTATATATTAACGCGGGCTCTTTACAAAAATAAATTTAATTTTACAAATAATTTGCTACAAATTAAATATGTGTAAAGTCATAATTAACATTTATATTCTATAAATATGATTCATTTTGTCAATATTAACTTAATTGATGTCTGTAAATAAAAATCTATTTTCATTACAAAATAGTAGAAAAAATCTCTCTCTTCTCTCTCTCTCTCTCTCTCTCTCTCTCTCTCTCTCTCTCTCTTTCACCCTTTCATTTATACACAAGGTAGATGGTTATTGAATAATGGCAATGGTGATGATATTAGCCGTTTCCTTGTGAGGAAATTTTCTCTATCCATTGACAGAGCAGCCAGTACTACTGTCGGTTGAAATTTATAAAATTTTTCTTTTAAAAATTTTTTAGAAAAGTGGGTTTTTCAAATCCAGAAGCTGTTATCACTCTTTCCAAAATGGACAGAAGTTTCCTTCCTAACCTTTTATTTGAAGTAGTGTGGAATTTCAACATATTGATTATGACATAATTTTCTCTTGCGTTCTATTTCTTAGATCACTTGTTGAAGGATGTTGATTTTCTGTTACAGATCATTCTCATCCGAACTATGGACCTCCTATGTCCTTAGCATAAAACACACAACCCACCCTCAGCACCAGTACCGTTGACTCGGGAGGGGAAGCAAGATCGTTGTCTTCTATTGGTAGATTTGTAGGGCTGTTTTACGGACTTACGAATTGTACATTATGAGGATATGTAGGTGTTGTAACCTAGAAAGGATTACTGAATGAGGAATAACCAAAACGGAGACTGGAAATGAAATGGTAATCTTTATAACATCAACAAAATACAATATTCGCCAGCGGCGTGAAGTAGGTAAACCACTGCTAGTGGTGGACTACATAGACAGCATATTACCCCCACTTACAATAGTGTCCAACGTATTTATGAGGATTTGGACATACCCATTAGTGTTTATATGTACGGTATTTAACAGTTATATTTAACGCCCCCCACCACGTGGGTCGTATGTGGCACAAGGCCGGTTTAGCGTGGGTTCTTCAACAAACCTTCGTCCGGGTTCCTCTTTGCTTAAGGCAGAGAGTTTGACAGTTGAACATTTTATATCACCGTTCCCCTGCGGTATTTACTCTGTCTCCCCACTAGGACGAGATGTGACACAAGGTCTATTTTTAGGTGGGATCCCGAGCGCGTACGCCCGGGACAGGAACAAAAATTCCCCTTAGCCCCCCGCAACCGTCGGTTGCGCTGGCCTCGGTGCGAGCACCGATCCCTCCCTCTAGTACAATGAGAGGGCACGGCCTCGTGCAGCTGTTCCCTAGGCCGAACACCTCTCAGTATAATTTTCCTCAGTTGCGACTGTCCTTTGACGGAGCCGCCCCTGACAGAGACGCAACTAATAATAAATAAAAGAGTTACAAACTACATTATAGTAATTTATATACGGTATTTAACAGTAGGATAGATAACTGTAGAAGCTAGACTTGATGAGGTTATGGTTGTAGTGTTCGGAGGTGCAATTCTCCCGAGAGTCTTACCACAAAGCAGCCGCTCTTAGGAAGAGAATGTCCAAATGGAATTTCTTCTTACCGATGGAATGCAAAAGGAATGTGGGTGGTTCGTTGATATTATCTGTAAATGCCGTTGACATATTTTCGGCAATCGTTAACATTGGCCTGTCTATGTTCCGGTTTATCATGACATGAAAATATAACTCACCCACCTTCACCCTCTGAGCTTATTTTTCTATTTAGCGTAGAACTGACATTTAATTGGTTATTCAAGACATACCCACAAATCTAATTTTAATTCTTACCTTATGTTTTCACTCCCTTTAACTTTCGGAAAAGAGGTAATAATTTGCTTTTTAAATTTCCTTAAATGCCATTTAATCACCAGTTACTTACCATCGCCTGAAGAAGTACAATCAAAGTATTGAAACATGGAAAGTTTGTGTAGCGATTTCAACATATTTTTATTAGACTCTCTTATAATAAAAATAATAATAATATATTGCTCTACTTTGTATTGAGCATTTTTTCAAAAGTAAATGCTATATATATATATATATATATATATATATATATATATATATATATATGCGCGCTACAATAATGAGTCAAGAAAACATTAGAAACCGAACACATCTGGGAATATTCACACTTACACTTTCTTGAAACGCAGACCAGAAGACTAATTCCTTTGGGTGATGATTGGTAAAAGTACAAATGAAACTTTAGCCCTTATAAAAGGATTTTGTGGTGAACAATATTCGTTCGAGCAAGTTGGGACGTTCACGAGTCTATCTAGGCAACCATCATGGTCCTGCATCAAGGTCGGAAAAATCATTAGTTGGCCAATATAGATTATTGCTGAACGACCCGTCTTGAGTCTTGGCGAAGTGTCCAGAGGAGTAGATTACTGGCAAGCTTTTATTTTTCTCCTGCAAAGCGCATTTTCTGCTCAAGTAAGATTGTGTGTTTTGGAGTGAGGCTTAGAGTTCATGGACGGGAAATATGCACGATGATCCGATAAACAAAAAATATTGTGTACCCAGATCAAAGATATGACTCATAACAGAAGAGCTGGATATGAATAAAGAAACAGTGCTAACAGGGGATTTGAGAATTTCCTCAAAATTAGTGCCTCCAATATTGATAATCTAATCATTGGAATATCTCTGTGAAAGCCCCTCCTTCAGGCTGAATCAGTGGATTGATTCAGTGGTGTGAACAAGGTCTCGCCAAAGAGTAGAACCATTAATGGACAACGTATATATATATATATATATATATATATATATATATGTGTGTGTGTGTGTGTGTGTGTGTGTGTGTGCCATGCCTGTGTGTGCGCACGGGCGTTCGCGCGTGAGTGTGTGACTTTTGTTCTAAAAGCGTTATTTTCATCAGGCACTGTTTAAACTATTTTATTTTCGTGTTATTTTGAATATATATATAATTCTACATATATATATATATATATATATATATATATATATATATATATATATATATAATTCGACATATTCTTATCACTTTAAACGTGATTATTTTTATTTCTCAGTTACGTAGGTCTGTAGACTATATAAACAACGTTTAAAAAAATAAACGGAACGTCGACTCAGATGCAGGTAGGCATGTAAAATAAGATTTAAGGTAATATATATATATATATATATATATATATATATATGTGTGTGTGTGTGTGTGTGTGTGTATGTATGTATGTATGTATGTATGTGTGTGTGTGTGTGTGTGTGTGTGTTAATGCTTTAAAAACAACGGACATACTGAAATTGTTCATGTCGATATGCAGTAAGTGTACTGATTAAATCTATTGTTATTAGTAAATCCGATAAGTGTGTAGGTGTAGTTCTATTGTATTATGACGAATACGTAAACAAAATTGACTGATTCGTGTAACCATGTGGCACGCATGATAAGGCCAAGTCTATTTGAGTTGAAATTTCAGAAATGCTTGCTCAAGTTAGGGACAAGAATATTTCAATGGACCTCTATGAGGCCAACAGTCCTGTAGTCTCTCTGTGGTCCTAGCTGTATGGTTTGCCAAAGACCAACAAGAACAGCGTCCCATTAAACCACATCCATTTTATGATGAGTTCAGTGAAGTATAAAATGGCCAAGTGGTTGTCCAATTCATTACAATCGATATTGGAGATTTATTCGGTTCATTGCATTAAGGATTCGTTTACTTTTATTGTTTCAATGTAAAATTTTCTTTCTTTCTTTTTCTTTTTTTTTCCTTTTTTTTACTCTGATAATAAATTTAATGCTGCCGTTTGATATTAGCAATCTTTTCATGCGTCTCCCGTTCACTGAAACAATTGATATTTGTGCTGATGTCTTCTATCAGTGTCATTTGCCTGCCACTCCAATTTATGAAACTGCCTTCATTAAGTTTATGGAGTTTGCTGAGGAGTCTGTAATGTATAAAGAAATTGAAGGGTTTGCTACGAGCAGTCCGCTGGGTCCAGCCATGGCCAACATTTTTGTTGGTTTTATGAGCAGAAGCTCTTATATTAAACACATGGACATGTAGATAAAACGTTTTCTCTCTTTGATATTGAGAAGAAGTCGAAGGTGTTTCCTGGATCACTTAATTATTTGCATCCATTTTCAAGATTTATATGTGAAAAGGAAAACAATGACATTGTCTTTCCTTGATTTATCAGTGCACAGTTTGGATAGTTGTTTAAGACCTCTGTGTATCGTAAGCCTACCTTCGCAGGATCTATTCTCGCTGGGTCTCGTATCTATCTACCTATCTATAGATAGATAGATACATAGATAGATAGATAGATAGATAGATAGATAGATAGATAGATAGATAGATAGATTTTATGTCATGTCAGTTTTCTCGCCATTTTTACCATGTCTTTCTTGATCTGTTTCATACAACTTATCTTTTGTAGAAATCACTGAAAAATATCCCGCTGAAAATACTGCTCTACTGACAGACTTTTATAGACTGATATTTGTGAATTATTTTCGAATTATTTGTAAATCTCCGCGCATTACGGCTGAATAAATATTTGCTAAAATTCAATTTCAAAACTTGGCATTGCGTAAATAAAGACGTCTTTGACAGTATCCACCTAAAATCCGACAGCAATTTGACAACTGGAAATAACTTATGTTTGATGTTGGCACATCATATTCGATTTTTTTTTCCATTCGATAATTTAATTAAGGATATTGGTGCCGAACTGAGAGGTTCATTTTTACTATGTTGACAAAAAAGATGTGAAGATTGGCAGAAGAAAATAGACAATAATAAAGACTGATCGAAATATAAAGAGAAATGATACAAGAAAACAGTTTTAAAAAAAAGATAATATTTTCTTCTATTTACACTTGCAATGAGATTTAAAGCAAATGAGAATGACATATGTAGAGAGAGAAGTATTTGCAACACCCGCATACGCGTACAGAGATGCACTTACACAGACACACCCACTCTCTCTATATATATATCTATATATAGATATTGTCATCCACAGACAGACTGTTTCGCAGCTCATCAGTGTGGCTAGACATCCGGTTGCCTCCAGCTAGGGTCGAAACCCGACTGAATTGGTGTCAGTCGGAGATTCTAACCATTAAGCCATCGGCGCACTACCGTGGAGGTAGGAAAGTGGATTTTTAGCGTGATCTATCTATCTCTCGCTCTCTCTCTCTCTCTCTCTCTCTCTCTCTCTCTATATATATATATATATATATATATATATATATATATATATATATATATATATAGATCTGTCTGTTTAATATTTTACCGTATTTTTCCAATTTTCGAATAATGATGTGTTGTGTATTGTGATCAAAAATGTGGCCAAACTTCCAGGAGTTCATCTGGGATTTGCTGTAGTTTCGAGTACTTTCGCCCGTCTCATTTTCAAGAATTAATATGCTGCCCATGTAGTAGGTAGAATACCAGAATACAAAGAAAGAAAGAAAGTCTGGCTGCCAGACCACATTTGGTTCTTGAAAATGACTGACACTGGTACTTCAACAGGTCTTTATAAATACAAGGCTAAAACTGTTAAGAGGAACTTCAGCAAGAAGGCAAGAAGTCATTCTACATTATCCAATCCGAGGAACTTCCCGACAAGGTGGTGAAGAAATGAAAAGATAGGACTATCCATCAACCATAAGAAGATAGAATGCGTGCTTGGCAGAAAAAGGAACAGCCCAAGATGCTAAGTACGAAATGGAGATGTGAAAATCAAACAAGTTTTGTGATTTAAATATCTGGGAGTAGTTTTACCAAAGAACGGAAAACATGACCCCAAAATCCAAAGAGACACTGGAATAATGAATTCTTGGACGTATAATGAGGAAGTGTGGGCTTGGAAAACTTTATTCTCACAGAGCATATCGAAGAGAGATAGGGGATGATAGGAAGCTATTTACCTATTTTGTGAGAACGAATGCTGAAACGGGCGAGAGACTTGCCAAAGGAAATACGCTATTTAAGGCCACAAAGAATAGATGAGGAGAGCCATAATTGCCCATGTTTTGAAGGCATATGACATATAGAATAAGTCGTTTCATGTTTATCTTCCTTTTCATTTATTAAAGTTTTTTGTATTTCCTTCTTTTTTAACACTTCTTTTTTCTTTTTCTCGCCTCTCATTCCCCTTTCATTTTCTAATTACCACTTTTTAACCCTTTCCTTATTTCCTTGTCACACCTTCGACAATATCTTTGTCTTTCACCTCACACCTTCTCCGTCATTTTTACATATTTTCCATGTTCTTCTTGCAGTCTTCGTCTTTTCACGCACTTCGTTGTCGTCTTATCACACCTAATCTTTCTTCTTCTTCTTCTTCTTCCACATTACTCCTTTTCTTCTTCCTTCTCCTCCGTCTCTTATTCCTACACCTTTCCCTTCTTCGTCGTAGTCGTCTTCTCAACACATTCTTCTTCTTCTTCTTCTTCTTCTTCTTCTTTCACCTTCCTCGTTTTCTCCTTCTTCTTACGCCATCCTTCCTCTCTTATTCTTACACTTTTACTCTTCTTCGTCGACGTCATCGTCGTCCCACCCCTTCCCTTTCCTCTTCTTGATCTTCTTATAACATCCTCTTTATTCTCTTCTTACACTTTTTCTTTATTTTTCGTCGTCGTCTTATCACACCTTCTTCTTCTTCTTCTTCTTCCCTTCCTCCTCATCCTCTTCTCACACCATCCTTTTCCCCTTCTTCGTACTCTTCATCTTTTTCTTCTCACGCCTTCATCCTCCTCCTATTATTCTCACACTTTCCTCTAACACATTTCTTTCCTTTTTATCAGACTCGCCCTCTTCCTCTACTCTCACACGCCTTCCCCTTCTTCGTCTTATTATAACATTTCTTCATTCCAGATATTCATCATGCTTTCACGCCTATCTCATTTCCTTTCGTCATTTTTGTACATTTTCTCTAAATTCTTTCAATCACGGAGAGCATTTGGGCCAGCGGTTTAGAATCTATGCATTTTCGTCAAGAAAATGACCGAAAAGAAATGCTAAATCAGTCATAAAAATAATCTTGGTTAATAGCCAACAGGCAAAAAGTGAAACTCAGATTATATATATATATATATATATATATATATATATATATATATATATATATATATAGTTTTAAAATCAATATGCCTGTGTTGGGGTTTGGATGGGGCAAGAAAATGTATGTAAATAACCAGGATATACTTTTCTTATCTTTAAAAAAAAAATCTTTTCCTCCAGTATTTTTATGGTTTTTATCTTACTCCTATTTATTTGTTACTTTCTTTTATTTTTGCTTGTTTTCCTGTTGTCCATTAAACTTGGTACTGTCTGGGGAGAGGTATGATTCCCTGGGCCTCAATTCATTGTCTTGAACATAAAAAATCATGAGAGGAATAACTAGTTTACAACTTCGACGTTACTTTATTTACCCTTCACTGAGCTAGTGATTTCTCCTTATACATAACCTAGATTCTTCTCATTATATATATATATATATATATATATATATATAGAGAGAGAGAGAGAGAGAGAGAGAGAGAGAGAGGAGGGAGGAGGAGAGAGATTTACGCCATTTTACTTTTTTTTCTCGTGGCGGGAAATATAACCTCTGTTGCATGAAATATGGTGCAAGCATTTAATCCAGTGTTGCATATTTCCTCCGATTTTGTGTTCTCGTCTTTATTATAATACACGACATTGAGGGGCACTGTATTGGCTAAACGTCTCTGCACACCCGCTGAACATTGTTCCTTTTTATATTATTAAAGACATTTTCCATCAGTAAAAGATTCCATGAAAAAAAAAGAAATGAAAGGAAAAGGCAGACTGACTTTACAATCGATTAATACACTGGTATCAATTTTAGGTATTGATGAAAAGTTCTCGGCCTGTCTGAATTTCCAAGATCTTCTACATAAATAAATGCGAATGCCAGTTTGTCATGCTATTTCAGTTAAAGGGACACAACTCTCAATAGCTCATCTTCTTCTATATAATAAATGCCAATGTCAGTGTATCAATGCGTCACACTTTTTCAACTTTACCCCTAGAGGCCGTACCACAACAAATCAGGCTGACTCCGTGAGAAAAATAAAAACATTGAAAGCTGGATTCGGAGACGCAATCCTGAAATTTGAGAATCCCAAAGTTTTCATTACTACGATTGTTTTCAGTGATTTTTTATGAGTTTTTGAGAGGAATTTTATAACTTGGAAATAAATTTGGGAATAACCGAAATTACTTGCGAAATCCAGCGAAAGTCACCCATGAAATAAAAATAATTGTTTGTACGTAAAGTAAGGACCTACGTACATCAAAATGTCTTTAAATTAAGTGGCGGCATAAGAATTATCGTTGAACTTTTAAAGGGTAAGCTTAAATATTAATGCAATACTTAAATGCAGCAATCAGTTTTGAGTTATTCTGTAGTTTATCGTTGCCTGTCGCGTACATCAGCAGTATCACAAAAAGAAATCTCCGCCAATAGAAGACCGGATTGCAATCAAAAGAGCCAAGGCTGCAGCGAGGAAAAGAAAATCCCCGTGCAAATAAGAAACCAGACCAAACGGCAGCAAGGAGAGTTTCAAATGCTGAAAATATGCAAAGACTTCAAGATTCTCAAACTCATGGACAAGCCGAAGGTTCAATCAATAGCCCTCCGCAGGAGGTAGCTTAAAGACTGTCCGATATAGCGGTTTTAAGCTAGTAATATATATATATATATATATATATATATATATATATATATATATATATATATATATATATGGGGTGATTTTATTTATTTTATGTATGATGGGGCCTCACGTAAGCCGGGAAATTCCATCATACATAAAATAAGGAGTTACTTTTTACAATCACTATATATATATATATATATATATATATATATATATATATATATATATATATATATATGACGTCACACATTATGAAATGGACAAAGTCCTACAATTATTTTAATATTCGGAGGACAAATATTTTCGGGGAAAAATTTCTCCAGACATTCAGGCCGGTAAATATTGTTTAATACTGTTTATTATAAACAGAGCATTTACTTAAATATTTTTATCTATAAAAAGAATGTATAAACATAAAAATGTCTTAATATATATATATATATATATATATATATATATATATATATATATAATGCTAGGAATGCATTTTCATATTGAAAAACTTACCACCAGTACTTCTTTGTAAATAAAATTACAAATGCTACCACGAAAATTAATTTCCGCATTAAATGACCCATTAGCAGTTGATGTGCCGCTAAACAAAGAAACAGATGAATATAGACACAACTAAATTGAACAAAAAATCAAACCCAACCTCAACATACAATCGTAGACCGCAGTTTCACCATCCTCTAGACCAATGTAACTCCATCCTTCTGACGCCAAACCTGACCTCCTATCCCTGTCTGAAACTGGTATTGATATCTCTTTCATGGTGCAGGAACTTGCAATACCGGGCTACTCACCCCAAATAGCTAAACACGACCATCAAAATCGCAATAACCACGGATTCTGCGCCTATATTGAAAACGGCTTTCCAGGTGACAGAGACCAAAAAACAAGCATCAGGATCCCCTGTATATTTGCTTCCGCGTGACACTTAGCCACAGTGTGGAATTCATTTTCACTTATTATCTTCCTCACGATAATGGTACTGTAATGTTCAAAAAATGCAAAGTGGATCTTTGCTCAATCAGTCGAAGACAAGGTTGAAAGCAAATAAATTGGATCCTGGGAATTCTGGAAATTCTCCAAACTAAATTCTGAATAGAGGCAAAGTGTCGATACCTACTATTATAAATTGACCTCGTGGTCACCTCATTCTCATCAGACAAAGCTCTTCGCCACGATTTTTGTCTGTAAGTCAACATTAGATAACAAAGGTCAGCTGTTCCCACCCACCCCTCTCGCTAAGCAGAATCTCAGTAATATTTTCATTACATCCGGGGATGTCTCAAAAGTCTTCACCTAGGAAGACTACCGGTCCAGTTAAAATCTCAATGTTTGTCTTTAAGAATATTAACCCGGAATTATCTCCGATCTTAGCGAAATTATTTAATCGCTGCTTGAAGAAGAAATCCTTCCTTATGCCTGGTTTTTTCAAGAATGCTTGTGAGCGCACATCAGTGTCGCAGTATAAACACATACGCCTCCTCAGTGTCATTAGCAAACTTTTTGACGCTATAATCAGCAAGAAGGTTGTTGATCACCTTAATAGTGACAATGTCTTGAACGACAAACAGTAATGTTTTCGATTGGTTCCGTCCACTGCTGATATCCTCACTCACAGAATCAGTGAGGTACAAAAGAACCATTACTCTCTTATGAGGCATAAGACAACAAATATAGCTCAAGGACAATCGGAATAGATATTTCAAAATACCTTTGACAAGGTGTGGCATAAAGGGTTACTACATAAGCTCTCTGGATATGGAATCACTGGAAGAGTCTTCTTAATTATAAAATCTTTCCTAACGGGTAGGTCGATGAAGGTATTTGCTGACGGACAGTCCTTCGAAGTTCGAACGATAGACGAGGGCGTTCAACAAAGTTCGATTCTCGGTCCAAGACTCATTTTACTTTACGTGAATGATCTGCCTAAGACTATACTCCGATCATTTATGAATGTCTATGCTGATGATACAATGTTATCTCGGTGCACATTCAAATCTTTTGATAAAGAGAGCTTGGAAGCTGATCTCAATTCTGATCTAGCCCTTACAGATCAGTATGGGGTGGGGATAAACTTACTGGTCAAATTCAATGCCTCGAAAAACCAAACTTAGTGACTTACCATCATCAACGATCGGACCCAGAACTTTCACCGATCGCGATGGACTGGTGTTCCCTCAGTGAGGCCCTGTGCCATGTACGCCTATTGGGACTTAGACTCAACCCAGACCTCAAGTGAAAGTCATACATACGATCCAACGATAAAGATACTGTAAAAATAGTCAGTTTCCTGTTTCGCTCAAGTAAGTATCTTACTCCTCATGCTACCCTCTACCTACCTCAGACAAAAAGGAGTACTCCTGCCCTATATGGACAGGAGCTTCCCAGATTTCACTTTCCAGTCTCGATAGAGTCCAAAAGCGTCTCCGCGTCCTTTTGGGTGATAAATTATTTTCCACTCTACAATCCCCGAACAGTTACAAGCCTCTCTGTACTCCCTCGCTATAGCCATAGAAAATGTTCAGGCAGACTAAATTCCTTAGTTCCAACTTCAGAGTTATGTGCCGTCATATCACGCATATTATAGCGAAACACCCCCATTCCCTTCGTATTGAATTCGGGAGAAGTACGTTTTATTCGAGCAGATTCTTTCCACAAATCTCTGCTTTGTGGAATCGACTCACCCTCCCCCCCCGCAAAGAGGCTGGTTCCTTGATCACGGCAATCTTGGATTGTTGAAATCTAGGGTCAACGTTATCTTACACACATATCCACATAAACTGTCTCGCTTACTCTGTAACACTGTGCCTTGAGTGGCTCTTGGGACTTGCTCAAGGTAAACATCAGAGTAATAAGAAAAGTTGACAAGTGCCGCAATAATTGTGATGCTTTTCATTTACTACGTCAGACTGAAAGCTACCCTTTTAATGCCCCCGATATGTTTGAAATGGAAACGCGAATATTAAAATTTGGCGCATGCCGTGTAAGATTAATCTTCTATTTAAAACTCTCTCTCTCTCTCCCTATTATCATATATATATATATATATATATATATATATATATGTGTGTGTGTGTGTGTGTGTGTGATAAAAATATAGTTTGATTATATGTAGATAAGTGCTGAATATCAGAGATAGATCGTATGAATATATAACAGTAGACACGTCAACACCAATCGGCAACAGTCTCTTTCATGTTTCAACGCAATCTTCAGATCAAATATATATATATATATATATATATATATATAATGAATACAGAATTCGTAAAAATCCATTCAGGTGATAATTTACTTTTTTTCTTTTTCTTGGGTCTAAATAAAATGAACTCCATTTATTTTGTAAAATTTGGTCTGAAGCGATGGACGTGTGTCCACGAAATAAATTATCATCTGAATGATTTTTTAAGGATTATGTATTCATTATTATCTTTTCTCTTACATTGACCTCTCTTTTGATTTATATCCTCCTTAGAATTATCCATATTAATTATCAAGTGATATTATATATATATATATATATATATATATATAGAACCTGCACATTTTCTTTATTAAAATTTCTAGAGTACACAGGCCGATGGAGTTTATACACACTGTTTAAAATAAAAAAAGGGTGCATTTATTTTAAATACGGGTATCTACTACAAAATATCTTTTGCAATCATATATATAAATAAATGTGTATGAGTGAGAGAGAGATGATGGACTCTTCCTTCGTTTTCGACGTATGAGCCTTCAACAACACATTATGCCTTTGATGATAACTTGGGTTTGTGCCTTCAATAACTTTTAAGGCCATCAAGAGACCCACAGAACATTCCACATATAGAACTGTACATTTCGTGAAGATTGCTCGGGCGGTTTTCTACATTGTAATGTCGATGACATAATATGTGTGACCTCTTAAATGTTGTAGTATCTTTTAGGCACACTCTCTCGCAATTGGCATGATTGGAAGCGACTTACTAAAGGGGCGACAGATGGACGCCAATAGAACTTAGATTTTGCTTAAATTTATTCTTGTAGCACAATTGGGGTCTGCTCACTTTCCGACAAGTATCATGCAGGATTTTCGGTATCCTTCCATCACGCATGCGCACAACTTGACCTGCAAGTTGTAATCGCATTATACATGCCTGTATTTCGCAAATTATAAACATATTAATATTAGATATTTATCTTCTAGATTATATCCACAGAATGTACGGGGCTTACGGCAATATCACATGGAAGCGGTTCCCGTACGATTACTGAAGTTAAAATACGTCAGACCTGGTCAGTACTTGGATGGGTAACCACTTGGGAATATCAAGGGCTGTAACCTTGTATGTGGGGGTTATGTAATGAATAACAGCTGGTAATTGGAAGTCGGGTAGTTGAGTTCCAATTCCAATTGGGTTCGTTATATTCACTGACGCGCAAATAAAGTTGGGAAAGGCATGAACCCACTTCTTCCCTACCTATTAAGGGTTAAATTGTTTGATTTGTATGAGTAAATCATTATTATGTTTTTTGTCACGTGGCTCATTAGGCTTATTGTTTGGTGGAGTTCGTGTTTGTTTGCACCTGGTCTCTTAGGCATAGATATGAAGAGTCCTTCCGGTAAATCCCCGCTGTTCTAGATTTCATTTGTTATTTCGGTGATCTTATCTATGCCAAAATCATCTAAGTCTTTCAGCATTTCTTACAAATCACTTTTGTCATGTTTGGTCATTTACATAACCTTATCCATAAAGTGTACAAATGTGTTTTGACGTGTGACACGCATTTTCTTAGAATAAAAGAAAAACGTAAAATGCTGCCAATATTATTTCATTTTTGAGGATAAAATTCATAAGTAAAACAACAAAAAGCGATATTTTGTAAAATAAATTGATTTAAATCCAAATCCAAAACTACCATCGAAAATAAACGCAAAAGTCAATTCGATATATATATATATATATATATATATATATATATATATATATATATATATATATAGTTATATGTGTATGGTATCTCCCCCAAATGTATACACATTTTAACAGCGGATAGCTTAATTGAAGTTTGTTTTTCTTTCTAGTTTAAATCCATTAGAATTAATGATGGCAGTCAAACTAAGCCTTGAACAAAATAAATTCATTCAAAAAGGCTACTGGAATTGTGAAAACATTCCTATACTTCTAGATATATACACATAACCCATACATCCAGTTAAACAGTGAAAATAAAATCATCCTTGTAATGGCTAAAATTATAGCCGAAAGTGCTCGAAATTACGGAATTTTTGTACAGTTTCTACACAATCTTCAGAAAAAGAAACACAAAAACTAAGCTTAATCTTAGTACCTTTTCTGTCGCCTTTAATGAAACATGTATAAATGAGGGATTGCTGTCTAAATACACACTATATCTATATGAAGAACATATGAAGGTTTTAAAGTGTGCCATATTTATGGGATAAAGTGCACAATATCAGAGATATGAGCGTGTGTAAATATAAATGTGAACATTGAAGTCAACACTCAGAGGCGACAGAGTGTTTAAGTGCTAAGCGCTATCGTCAGACGGGTATTTACCGGACCTCTCCACGAAGCAAGATGTGGCATAAGGCCGATTTTTATGTGGGGAGATCCTAGCCCGTTGGCTCGTGCAACAATTCATCTTAGACCCTGCATACACGGGGTCGCATTTGCCTACCTCCCCAGACAAAACTCTGCCCTTTGGCACAGCCTTGTCTGGCTTCCTCTCTGCCCGAGAGCAGAGAGTTTGACGTTGTGATGCTTGATCAAGCCTAAGCTGGAAATACCAAGAACTAGACGACTTCGAGAAAGACTTACCTAACATATAATTCCATAAACGACATGATGCCTTCTAAAAAACTAAAAGATGATATAACTAAAATAAACAGTTCAAAAAAATTATTTATCGCAGCGGACAAAACTATAAATTTCAAAACCAACTCAACATGCAAACTGATAAACCCACTCAAAAGTGAATTAGGTAAGATAAGTAAAACCATACTAGAGAGAATTAATTCAGAGCTAAGGAAGAAGTTTGGTGTAAGTCAGTGGAAAAACATAAAAAATAAACAGTTGCCAATTTATACTAGATATAAAAGGATTCTACCTTTCTATAAGCAAACTCATGCTAGATAAGGCCATCACCTTAGCCGAGGAACAAATAAGAATAAACACAAACATAATCAAAATCATTAAATACTCCCAAAAACCGCTACTATTCGACAACGAAGACGCATGGATAAAGAAAGAAGGTAACTTTGACACTACAACGGGAAGCTTTGATGGTGCAGAGACCTGCGAATTCATAGATATATATTTATTACACGAACTAAGTAAAATAATAGATAGAAATGATACAGGAGTCTAGAGTGACGACGGTCTCATAATCTTAAGAAACTATAACAAACAAAACACGGACAAGACTAGAAAAGCAATAATACAGATTTTGAAAAATATGGGATTCGACATAGACATAAAAACTACCCTAAATGAAGTAGATTTTCTAGATATCACCTTCAAACTACGAAAAGGTACATATAAACCGTACAGAAAACCCAATAATAAACCACTGTATATACACACATCTTCCAACCACCGGCCATCTATAATCAAACAGATACCAAAATCATTTAACCGCAGACTTTCCGAAAATTCTTTCAATGAAACCATATTCAACGAAGCTAAGAAAGACTATGAAACAGCCGTGCAAAATAGTGGATTCCCGGCAACACACATACACACCATAAATGACAAAAACAGCCAACAGGAAGAGAAACATCATATGGTTCAACCCACCGTACAATATAAACGTAAAAACAAACGTAGGAAAAATATTCATCAAACTCTTACACAAACCCTTCCCTTCTACAAAAACACAGTAAAAATCAGCTACAGTTGCACCGAGTATATGACAAATAATAAAAAAGCACATTAGGAAAACTTTCAACAAACCACCCGAACAAATGAAAGTCACGGGTAACTGCAGAATAAAGAACGAATGTCCCTTAAAAGGCAATTGCTTAGAAAACAATGTAATATAACAAGCCACGGTAAAATCATCAGATAACGAAGTAAAAATATACATAGGAGTAACTGAAGGACTCTGGAAACAAAAAAACTACGTACATAAAAATCTTTCACAAAAAATAAATACACGAACAGCACAATGCTTTCCAAATATATCTCGGAAATTAAAAACAAAAAGCAAACAACACCAAAAACATCATGAAAAATATGTAAAAGAACACCAGCCTACAACAATCAATCCAAAAACTGGAAACTTTGTTTGGAGGAAAAATACGTATGAATATCTTACCAGATCAAATGAAACTACGAAATAAAGGATCAGAACTCATCTCAAAGTGCAGACACGAAAACAAAATTTTATACGTTACTTAAAAATCGAAAATTGAAAAGAATAAATAAAAATAAATAATAAAAACAAGTAAAATAAATTAACCCAAATAAATAAAGTAAATAATAAACAAATTAACCAACCATTCCCGCCAAAATAACCGTTAGAATTGACTATCCACAATGCAACAGAGTACCCACAATGCATCACTGACCCGTATATATAAATAGTCAAGAAAAACACAACGCATGTGGCGTAACGGTTGCGTTTAGCATGAAACATTCTGTTGCCACTGAGTGTTGATATATATATATATATGTTAAGAAATGGACGAGGTCCGACAATTTATTTATTAAAGACATTTTTATTTATGTTTAACGTTGTTATTTTATATACAAGTATTTAAGCAAATGCTCTGTTTATGATAAACAGTATTAAATAACATTTACCGGCCTGAATGTCCGAGAAATTTTCATAGAAAATATTCGTTCATATAGACAGGATTCGAACCTGCATCCCTATACGGAACCGTCATATACGCTGACGTGCCTTGACCACTCGGCCACCATGAACCTAGACAAGGTCAATTTACTGTTATAAACTACAATCTTCCATGAATCTCATTCATTCTATAAAATCTGGCGTATCGAATGTAAACAAATGACGTCATATGTTAAAAAATGGACGGGTCCGACAATTTATTTATTAAAGACATTTTTTTATTTATGTTTAACGTTGTTATTTTATAGATACAGAAATATAGATACAAGTATTTAAACAAATGCTCTGTTTATGATAAACAAATTAAATAACATTTACCGGCCTGAATGTCAAGGCACGTCAGCGTATATGACGGTTCCGTATAGGATGCAGGTTCGAATCCTGTCTATGAACGAATATTTTCTATGAAAATTTCTCGGACATTCAGGCCGGTAAATGTTATTTAATACTGTTTAATAAACAGATTTATTAAATACTTGCTCTATAAATAAAATGTCTTTAATAAATATATATATATATATATCATTGTGGAAACTTATTGATGTATTGATCTAGTATTTCCAACAGATAGCCTTAAGTAAAAAAGGGTAATTTTATTCATTTTTTTGTTTTATTTCGGACATTTTGTTGATTGGAAACAAATTATCGCGAAGGGAAATGACTATTACATTACTTGTAGCACACTTAATGTAAATAGCAGCAGCATCCATAGAGAGAATGGAAAACAAGAAAGGAAAGATGGAAGAATTAAATATGAGCCAATAGGTTCACCTAGAAATAAATTTTTCCTTAAAGGGCTGAACAATTCAATATACAGAGTAAGGTAAGAGGTTGATCAGAATTAAAATAGATACAATAATATGTCTAATAGTCATGTTATTTCAGACAGTGAAACCCCATTATCATATTCTAATCATCACAATTTCAAATTAATAATAATAATAATAATCTGCACCAATAAAATAAAGTAAGTTAAAATAAAAATTAAATTTATATAAAAATATAACATAATTAATGTCCTCCTTGGAATTATCCCTACCAATTACCAATAGGTATTATATATATATATATATATATATATATATATATATATATATATATATATATATATATATATATATAAAAATAAAACCACTTTAAGCTTCCATGTAATAAATTATTTCACCACAGCCCTTTTAAAGAACTGCGGATCCTCAGACTTTACTTCGTTTTTCGTTTCAACATTTGGAAGTAGTCTGATGATCTGCAGTCACTAAAAAGGGCTGTGGTGTAATAATTTATTACATGGAACCTTAAAGTGGTCTGTTTTTATCTAAATTATTTGCTCTGGATTTACATTGAGCTCTCTCGATTTTATCCTCCTTGGGTTTACCCATATGGATTACCTAGTTTTTCATAAACTATATATATATATATATATATATATATATATATATAAAATATAGTTTGAATGTATGCTGT